TGAATAATTTTTTTATCGCTCATTTTTCTACAACTGTTTGTTTGTAGAAGGATGAGCGACTGTAAACTATTAACACGCTCTTATTGAACGAGAAAACGACTTTGAAAATACCACGGATAATCGATAATCGACTAAAAGTCTTTTATCTACAGCTAGTCGACACTCGCAATAGGGGTGTTAAACTCTCTTAAACATTTACTACTCCTGGCCAGTTCACTAAACTCTCATCCTCTGACGTATCGTTGAACCCCAGAACTTCGTTGTACTAATTTTTACAACGTTTTTATACACTTGCTTTCTTTTTTATTTCATTTTAATTTGCATAAATTTACATAAATATGTATAAGCACACTATTTAGTTTGCTCGATTTGTAAACAAAGCTTCTCAGCGGTGAAAAATATACTATTGTGAACAACATAAACGAGCGAAGTTCACAATAGCGCTATTCTTCATCGAATGAGCGCCATAATACCAAATGAAAATTCGTTCGATCAGCACTTTCGACCACAGTCGAAGATCGAATGTAACTCATAATAGGGGCCTAATATACTTATTATTATTAAGAATATTTCACTCATTTTTATGTTTGTAAATGTAAATTTTTTAATGCGCAGTGGCCACACAATTTTAAACAACAACATCAGCCGACATAATGTCAGCTGTGCAAATTGCGCAGAGTTGCCAGTATTTTCTGCATTACCGAAAAATCCCATACTTAAGGAAGTATACATACCTACGTATCTACATATGCTCTCATGGACAAAGAACTAGGTTTTGAAGATTTCAGTACATATGCATATGCCAACTTGGTGCTTTAAGCACTAGATTTAGTGCTTTTTGGAAATTAAAGCGCCAAAAAAAAAACCTGAAATAATGTGGAAATATTCAAATCTGTGGCAGCTTCAGTGCTTACAAGAATCTACAAATTTAAATGCACTAAAATACAACCATGATTGATATAAAGCTGAAGTTGCAAACCCACCTTGTTGAATTCTATTCGCGTTGAAAGTGCTAGTACGCAGGTAAGTTAAGCATTTCATTTTTCCTTTTCTAATTATTTGTACAAATTTTGATTATTTTTTACCACCTGAGTGTTTTAACACATCTTTTCTTGGTGCTGAATCCAAAACGGGTTTTGGCTATATTTGAGGTTATATAATGTAAACATAAATTTTTTTGCTCATTTCTACTTAGGGCATCATTTTCGTTTGTTGCGATTCGATTTTTCTTTCTCGAGATATACCAGTTTTAATGTGCAGTACTTCGGTATTATGTTATGAAAAAAGCATCCTTTGATAAAAAAAATTGGTGCTTTTAGTGCGGTAAAACGCTTTTTTACAAGTTTTTGGTGCTTTTTGAGAATCAAAAGTTGGCAGCACTGTGCATATATCTATAGTTGTTTTCGACAATACAAAAATTTGTAATAGCTTTTCCAAATTTTTACTGGGTGGCGTTTGATAACGACAAAAAATTATCCAACACACAAAAATTGAGAGAGCAAGCGTTCATTTTGTACTGACAACATTTTAGCCAGCAAAAATTATCACGAAAATATATGGTTGAAATTTTTGTAAATAAACAAAATGAATTTTTCGAGTTTTGGTATTTATACATATGCTTTTTAGTTGCCTGCTATGTGACTTTATGATAGTGCTAACTAGTTTTTACTTCTAAAAATGTTCCTGGCGAACAATGAACGTTCACTTTCCTTTTTCCTTCCATGGAGGCAACATGAATTTCAGTTTGTTTACAAATAAAACATAAACAAAGTCAGCTGGTGTGTCTTCCTCTTCCGGTTTTTGCAAGTGATGGCTAATTTCCTGTTCGTTTACTTTTTTGCTTTTTCTTCTCTTTGGGAGAGAAATTTCGCTTACCGTCTTGATTTTGATTAGGTTTGTATAGTAACAAATACTCAGTACTAATTTGTACTGGAACCTGCAATTTTTTACTGGAAAAGTGTATAATAACCCAAAAAATTTGCAAGAGAGCCCTGAATCGAGAGCGTAATAACACGGGAGAGCTGCGAACACAGTAGTTGTGTTTTCGTATTCTCCTGCAAAAATATCCAGTAACTTGCCAGCAACCAAATTTCGGAGAGTAAGCCAATATTTACTCCCAATGAGTGAAATATGCAAGAAAGTACGAAAACGCAAAACCAGCAAGAAGTTGCTAGTTTATGAACAGCTGATTAATTTGTTATTTTCCGATGCAATTTTCTTAGAAAACTAGTACTTTCCATCTTATTATAAATTTAAATAGGTTTATTTTGTCAATTGCAACTCTAAAGGCACCACAAAACAATTATTTTGTTAATGTGAATAACATTAAGCATCATGCCATCAGCTGTTTTTCTTACTAGCAAATAGTTGCTAGGAAAAATTTATCCAGTAAAAATCCAGTAAAACTTGCAAGTTCAGCTGTCAGTTTTGCTCTCTCAATTTCCCCTGTTTTGCTAGTTTCTTGCAAGTTTTTGCGTACGAAAACGACATCCAGTAAAAAACCAGTAAAATTAGTACTGGATTTCCTGTACGCGAACAGGGCTAGTAATAAACCTTTTCGCAGTTTTTCACCATTTGGTCCCCGAGGAGTACTTTTGGGTTGTGTGCAGCATTTTCGTTTTGCGCGCACGGCAACACTTACTGTGGGGAATTTCGCCTCATGATTAGAAAAAGTTCTTTTCGAGGATAAAATATGCATAATTATGTGTTATTTATGAACAAAATGTAGGTTAAGTATAATATTCATCTTTAATGTATGCTGACATCCATGCTTAATGAAGAATAATATCAATAGTTAAGTACATAATTAACGCTTGTGTTTTATAAACTGGAAAACTCAAATCGTAATTATAGCACTGAATGCAGTTTTCTTAAATGTAAGTTTAAAATTAAAAAAAGGTCCACTGTAAGATTATATTTATATGAAAAACGTAAATTTTGTGAATTTATCAAGCAAAATTCTGAATTTCCGAATATATTTAAGTCTTTATTAAAAAACAAAAAAAACCAAGGTTTGTATAGCTATACATACAGGCATTGGACTGCTAGCGCATTCGCCCAGACAGTCCATTAAGCACACCCAAGTTTGAGTGATCTACAAGTTACTAGCGTTTTCAGCATTTAACAGTTCATTATCATGTACGATGTAATATAACAAGTTATACACCGAACTATGATAATCTGTAATAGTATCTATAATAATGGACAATAATTTGCAATGTTTTTTACACATTTGCAATTAGTTTCGGTCAATATTACACAGTCATGACTTGTGCCACTGTCATAGTATGGTTGTTGCTCCCTTTTATACCACAGTAAATTTGTTTACAACTCTGAATCAACAAAATTCATGCTCCTTCTCATTATCAACCCTGATCAGATTTTACCCCCGAGGAGTACTCAAAAAGGTTTATTACTGTATATACTGTGGCTGCGAATTCCTAGTAGTAAAATTTTTACTAGCAGAAATTAGCTAACAGAAGAAGAAGAAGAATGAATGACAAAAGCTGCCATTTGTTGAATTGGTTAAGCGTAAACAAAAGTAAAATGGGTGCAAATCAAAATATTAATGATGTACTGGACTTTTTAAGTGCTTTTGTTTAAAGCAAAGAGTTTAAAACTGATTTGCAAATAATAAAATGTTTACAACAGAATGTCAAAACAGTGCAACAACTGTTCACTTGCAAGTTTTTACTAGTTTTGTGTTCAATAACTTTTACTGCTTGTTTTCTCTTCTTCTCAATTTTACGCTCTATTTTGTTTTTACGCTCTCGCTGCAATCTTTTACTGGAGAAGTTACTATACAAACCTATTGTTGGCTGGTGTTGGCTAATTTTGTTATCGAACACAACTTATATCCATCCCGAACAAAATTATAATACCCTTGTGCACGAGTGCGCTCGGGCTCAAAACTGATTTTTTGTGAGATTTTCTATATGTTGTAGAATGTTTGAAATCTGGATTTATGTACGTACATATGAGTAGTCCACTTGCAAACAGAGTTATGTGATTTTATAATAGTAAGCCACAAATTTAAAGAAACGTCTACAACAACAAGTGAAATCCAAATTGTAACTTTTTTTATCTGTAAATTTGGATAAATAAGAGCCCAATAACATTAAAAAAACAAAACAGCAGTATAGTTGTTTTTGCAAATTTTATACATAAAAAATTGATATAGCGAGTTTTAAAACAGTAACTTTTACATAGCTAGCTTTTTTAGCTTTTCGCGTTCTCCCTTCCATGACGATTGGTCTGGTTCTTTTTTTCGACGTCTTCGACTAGGCACCGAAACTACAACGTTTTCTTGCAGTTTTCTAAGTTCATCAGAAGATGGAGACTTTTGAACTTGTATAAATTCGTACAATAAATATTATAGCGACTTTTGAAAGTGTATAAATACATACACTAAGTATTATAGTGACTTTTGCTAGAGTAGCTAACATTTGATGCTATTTTTTCAGAATATATAAGGATTTTGCACTGTATTATTAGTGGACGTGAAACTACTTTAAATAATGGTATGTTAACCACCAAGAACTAAAAATAAAAAAAAAATTACATAGAGCACTTTGCAAGTGGACTACTCATATATGGAGTTTGTTATATAATGAGCTAGACTTTTATAAATAAGTTATAGGAGAGAGTAAACTTGTCTTATTTCAAACGGTTATCTTTTATCCAATTATCTCTTCTTGTTATGACTAAGTATCGATATTTTAGTACGAATTTATGAGGGCTTGATGTCAGGAGCTTCCGGTGAGTAAATATCGTTTTTGGCACAAATGTCTGTAACGAGGTTTTGCAGAACCACGATACGCGGTTTTGTACTTTAAGCGAAGAAATACATATTTGTTTATCCATGAGACATTTTATATACATAGATATGTACACACATCCATATACACAAACATGTTGTATAATTTCCGGGAACTAATTTCCCAATGTGAGCTTTTAAACAGGTAGTACGAGTAACTGTAAAATTTTATCGCGTTACGATATCGAGTATTAATCCATATTAGTATTAAATCTATATTTACATTCGAGAATTAATAAAAAAAAAACTATTTCTTTTTATCGATTTACATAATTGAGCAAGGCATAGCACAGCAAAGTGGCAAGCAAATTGGAACCATCGCACCACCCTGTTTAGTTTTAGATTTGGATTTGTAGCCAGACTCGTATTCATACATTCCAGATCCTTTGGCCCAACGCCCCTAATATTAAAACAAAATTTAAATATTTAGAATTCGTAAACGTTTACATTTATTGCCTTACCCCTGCTGCTGATCCCGCAGACATTTCTTCACGTTTTGTTATCATCATATCATGTCCTGGTGGATAATACACTTCTTTGCCGGCTTTGTTTACCGTAGGAATATGTTGACTCGGTGCTGCCACTGCCGTTTCAATTTCCCTTTTTCGTGGAGTGGAAAGGTCTGTATTGTCCACAGATTCAACCTGATGAAAATCAAGAAAAATGTTATGATGACTTGTTGTAAATAATCTGGTTTTCATTTTGGTAACCCGGCTCGTTGAACCGGATGCCATCGGACATTCTCATGTACATACATACATACTCATATATTCAAATTCGTTTATTTATGTATAGTTGCCGTAGTATGCAAACGTGCTAAGTCCATTTTTAAATTTTTCAGGAGGGACAAAAAACGTTCTAACTTTTGTTAATATTTTCCTAACCTGTACATGCAGTTTTCTTCCTTAGTTCGTCCGGTTTCAGTACCAATAATCGGCCAATTTCAAAACAAAGCTATTGCAGACTTAAAGGCTCTTTTGGGACTTACCAGCTTTTCTCTTTATGATTTTGTTCTTTTAATGTGGACTTAGCACATTTTCTATCAATACGTTTTTCATTATTTTTTTATTGTTAAAAGATTTCGTTGTTTGTTTTAAATATATTTTATTGTTTTAAAATGAATAATAACCTAATACAGTCTTATTTCATTGATGTTAACAAAAATAACTATTTGAAGTCGTAAATTGATGTACCATTTATAAAGGGAAATAATTAAAACCAAGTAAAGGAGTATAAGTTTGGGCGAAACGGAACTTTATATACCCGGCGCAAGTATCGAATATTGTCGTTTCAACTTTCTCTAAACTGCCTTTGCATGATAAGCAGGGGTGTTTTTCCCGATTTCAGACGTTTTCGATAATATGGTGAGTTAAACTCAATGATTTAATTGAACCAAGTTTGGTGGAAATCGATAAAAGGTTACCGAGATACACCTTTGTAGTCATAAAGTGGGCGATGCCACTTAACTTGGAGTAAATTAGCGTCCTTAGTTATTGAAATAGCAGTTTCCGTATTTCTGAAATTTACCGTTAGATATACGGTTAGATTTTCCGTACCAAGGTTATTAAGTGCACCGAGTTTGGTAGAAACTGATAAATTGGATACCGAGTTACACATTTGTGATCATAACTGGGCGGCGCTACGCCTTTTACCCAAAAATTTATAATAACCCAATTTTCTCCTAACTGGTTATCGCAATCATCGATTTTAAGGGAATTACTTTAGTAGTTATTTATTTATCGCGGTTTTCGTGTTTCTGTAAATTACCATTATATGGGAGATGCGCGTAGTCGTTGCCCGATTTCAAAGATTTTCAACAGATTAAGTTAAGAAACTAAATCATAAGCAAGGCTCGTACCGAATTTGGTAAGGATTGGTGAATGGGTCACTGAGATACATAATTTCATTTAAATTTTATAATAATATTTTTAACTTACTTGTCCGAAAGACTGCATAAGATCATCAACTTTCTGTGGGGGGCTGGATTTGACTGGATATTCCACTCCGTCAACAGGGAATGGTGCTGGCTGACTGGTCGTTGATGGCGAACCATATGGGCTGTCTGGCCCTCGGCGTTTGTTTGTTGTTGATGAAGATGTGTATTTATATGTTACTTGCGAAGCATTTGTTGGTCCGTGTGGAGGATATCCATTGCCACTGGATGTATAACCTATTGGCACAGGTTTGTGCGGAGGGTGTGCTGGTGGTAAATAGCCTGGATGGCTATTTGAGGGAGCACTTGGAGAACCATGGATAGTATTTACTATATTTGAGGATTCTTTATAAATGTATCTTGTGGATGACGGTCCCGGGTGATAGTTATCATGCGGTCCACTTTGTGGTGGATGTTGTTGTATCGGATAATCCGGAGAGTGTTGAGGATAAGTATTGAACTCTGGTCCCGAATGAGTATTTTCCGTTGTGTTGACTTTGTAGATAATAGTCTTGTTGGTACCACTTGTTTGCGGGCTGCGTGGTTGTTGTGTTGGCAAGTTCTTATGCAAGGTGCTAATTTCACGATTCTCGCGTACTTCGTATACATGATTTGAAGTAACAGGCCGATCACTAGACCTATTGCTTGTGGAATAGCTTTCCGTATTATAGACAACAGTTTGAGGCACCACTGGTGTTATATGGGGACTAGACTGAAGTGTAGAGCTGTTAATTTCGTTGCGTTGAATTGTGTTATAACGTGTGCTCGAAGTTAACGGCGTGCCTCTGCTGAGTGTGCCAGTAGCTGGTACTTCGTATGTGTAGGTACGCACTGTAGTGGTAACTTTGGTACCGGGTACAGGTAATATATCTTCCGTCAAAGGCAGATTCTGAAGATCTTTCTCTAGTTGTGTTGTTGTTGTGGTAGACGTAGAAGGAATCAATTCCGTACTATCAATAACTCGGTTGCTTTCATAGACGTTGCCTATAGTAAAAAATTGAATTTTTAAAAACTTATAAGATAGATTTAGAAAATAGTGCTTACTTGATCCATAGAGCTTTTCATTTGACTGATAGTCTCGTTGGATTCCTGCATAACCGTTCGACCTTACAGTGTTGTACTCTGATGCGGAAAAACTATCAATTTCATCCTGCACAGAGTGCGGCACTGATCGCTGGGACGTTTTGATGACACGTGTCGCTTTTGTTACGGTGCCACTAGGTTCAATGCGATCCCGTTCCCTGCAATATTGAAAACAATCGCATTAAAATCTATGTATATATGTACATACATATGTGTATGTTAGCCATTATTAAACAGCGTTGCTGAATCATTGCTCATTTAACATTTACATGCATGATTTGCACATACTACATACATAGAGGTCACGGCAATACTTACATTGTCCTGTAATTCGCAGAAGTTGATAAAATATCTAAAAGCAATAGTTCTGTCAGATTACAGTTTTGTTCATATCATAGCGTAATAAGCAAAGTGAAATCAATATATGACATAATTATTTTTGATACGCTTATATGACAACGGCTTTGTCATTGAGTTAACCCATTTGAAACTAGCAAAATTATATATTGTTGCGATTGCACCTTCTGAACGCGTTGTTTTGTACTTCTGATCAACTGAACAGTTGCGTGTTAGTAATATTTAATAATATTTTTCTGATCATTTGAGACAACGTGTTGTGTGTTTTGAATTTGACAGCTAATGTATCAAGCCGTTCAGAAGACGCATTACGATCATTGATTTTTTTTAGCAACGATTGCGCTCAACTTCTGCACCTTCTGAACCTACCCAATAAAAAACTTTTGATTTCAAATCAAAAAAAAATTGTTTTAATAATCAAAGAACAAAAAGAAAAAAATTCGTTTAAATGCCAGATGCTTGCTGTTTATGCAGAAGCACCCACAACAGTGAGGTAGGTATGTGTCGTGTGCCAACAGACGTTACGCAAGGAAGGGATTGGATGAATGCGTGTGGTGTTAAACTAACTGGATCATCCAAAGTTTGCGCTTTCAAATCGAATGAAATCATTTATGCAAGTATTAATGCCAAGAGAAGACGCCTCGGTCCAGATGCAGTACCATCAAAGATGTTGCCTGCTATTTCATCAGATGAGAGGTAATGATCAAAGTGGTGGTATGTTCTCAAATGCATTAGTGCAAAGGCATATGGTGAAAACAACGTCCAGTAACTACAACCGCAATGCGCCAAACAGATGAGAAGTATCGCATAATAATAGATGGTCCTGATTTGCAGTAATTAATTTGAGAAAGAATCCTTAATCTTAGGGCCAATTTCACAATGCGTAGTTAACTACGCACTTAATGTGTATATATATACATATCGTCGTTTAAAGTGCAAAACCGCCTATCGTCGTTTTGCAAAACCGCGTAACTGACATTTTTGCCAAAAATTAGATTTGCTCATAGGAAGCTCCAGGCATAAAGCCTTATCTATTCATACCAATATATCGATATTAGACCATGTACTGCAAAATAACTGCATAGTTTCATTACCGCTAATTTATTTGCTAAAATCGAGAAAATCAGGAAATTTCTAGTGCAACTCGCATCAATTCTGAAAAAAATATTGAAAATATTGTAAAACACCCCATCACAGAATTTGTTTGAAGAACGCCCTATCTCAGAATACGGTTCCAAACCAAAACCGAAAGAGGGTTAATGTAAACAAATATACGAATTGTTTACATTTAAATTTTCAAATGAGCGCACTTCAAATGATTTCACTTTGTTTATTACATTGTGGTTCATATTACATACTTTTAACATACCTTTATCTTTTGTAATTTCACGTTCATTCTTTAAGTCTTCCAGCAATGCATCTAACTGATCAATGTTTGTATCCAGTGACTTATTCACGCTTGTTATATTATTATTGCCCGCATTGGAATATTTATAGGACGATTTCTTGTAAGCATAGCCTTTATCTTCCTGTTGGAATAGAAATTAGTATACTGAAAGCTAATTTTAAAAGTGAAAGTACATAACCAAGGCTCATCAATTACAAGGTTCATTCCTTATCTTTTTGGACTAAAATCTGAAAAGTGTCAAAATGCCAGAGCGTAAGCAAAATGCGCTCACTAAAAGAGAGTAACAGGAAAAGTAAAGGAACGCAAAAAACCAAATTTTTAGTCCAAAGAATGGCAACAACAAAACTATCGTCAAATAAGAACAGAAATGTATGCACACTTACTATATCAATTATTTTTCGCCTCCTTCCAATTTCAATTCACTTTTTTACTTTTTAGATTATTCTCAGTTTTTGCTTATTCTTTAATTTCCGTTAATTTAAATTCAGTTGAGTTTGACACTTTTCAGGATTTTGCCAGAAAAATTCTTCTGACTAAATCTGACTACTTCGGACTGATGAGAGTCGCTCTCACTGACTTTTGCTCTCTCATTTTTGCTGTCATTTCCGAGTTAAGGAACGCTTTTTGGACTAAATCTGACTACTTCGGACTTTTTCTGACTATTTCTGGGAGATAAGGAACGCTCCTACAGGTGATAGCGATAGGCGCTATGCTTCTTCTTAAGAGCACGCTTGTGTCAAATTATCGTCTGTTTTGCTTTATTTACATATCCGCGTATACATACACATATACGTATATATATACCCTGCAAACAAATGCTCCCGAAATCTTTAAGAGTGTCGGAAATTTGTTACGATTATTTCAGAAATCTTTAGAGAAAAACAAATGAAGCGGTTGACAGGAACTAGTAAGAAATTTCTGTACGGTTTCTTAAAGAAAATTCTTAAAAAAATTGTGAAACCTTTCAGAATTCTATGAAATCCTGGTGTGCAGGGTATACATTTACATACGAATATGAATAGATAAAGATGTTGATGAGACAAGGAGTTCATACCAACGGTAAATATTGTTTTTGTACGATTGCTACCTGTATTTGTTGAATCATGGCACATAACATGCATTCCGTCGCCGTCACCGTCACCGGCAGTTGTCAAAAAAGCTGATTCGGTATATTTGTATGAAGTAAGCTACATGAACAAGCTGACGGTGACGGTGCCGCACAAATTAGCTCAACTCTCAATTTTGCTTATGCGATTGCGTGACAACTATTCAGTGTTTTGTTTACACGTTTGAACGTAAATTTTTCCAGATTGTGAAAATTTTAATATTTATGGAAAAACGAAATGTAAAAAATAATGGTGGAAACCTTATAGAAGAAGTGAAAAAGTAAAATGGAAATTTTGCAAAGAGTATCAGCGAGTTAATGATTTTTCGGGCGCAATATAAAACGAATTGTGTGTAACTTGACACATAACCATCGTTGACGATGATGGTGACGGTGGCGGTGACGCTGTCGTAATGGATGGTATGTACTTTCACTTTAACAGGTCTATTCTGCACGTTACCGAAGATTTTGTGACCGGAAAATTTTATTACCAAAAAATGTTACTACTTCTTGTCACCGCGATTCTAGGTACGTTGGTAATGCAGTGAAAATATTCAGCAATTCAGCTATGAAGATTTGTGGAAACTCCTGTGTTGCATATTTCACGGGACAATATTTTCTTACTAGCTTATGAGATGGTAACCAAATTTACCGGTTACAAGAGTGTACAGAATGCGAAAAATGTTTAAAAATTGACAGACACTTTAATTACCGGTTACAAAATTTATGTTACCAGCGCAGAATATACCTTTTCTAATAAATTCTTATTTACCTTATTTCCAAATTTAGAGGGCGAATCACTCCTCAATGTTGATGAGTAGTTTTCTGAGCTAGTTGAGTACTGCATCCCTGAAAGATATGAAAATCCTTCGTTAAAAATGATTTTTGTGGCTCATTTCATATGTGTATGTATATATGTACGGCTCATTCCATCTCAAATCACCCAGGCCGGGGGAAAGTGAATTTAAGTTTGCGATAAAACTCACGAGTAGCAATATGCTAAAATTCGTCGTTTTCGAGTTGTGATTTTTTTGCTGAAAATGCAAAAATTGTTGCCTATTATGATAAAGTTTCCTTGCTGGAAATTTTTTGAGGTTGCCCGATCAGAGCCAAAAATTGTTCCCAGTTGGGCTCTAATTTTGGCCCAATTGGGGCCCAATTAGCGATTTGCCCAATCTACCGAAGATTTCCCCAACCAGTGCGCACAATTTGCTCAAAGTGAACATGCATACGCAATTAAAACGATTTTATGGATAAAATCACACATACACACATAAAAATTCCCTACGAAAAAAAATAATTTTTTAATTTTTTTCTTGATAAATTTTCCACACACAATTTTTTTGATAAAAAAGTTAGTTTTTGAAAACATGCCATTTAAAAAAAAAATTGGAAAAAATCACAATGGTAGCTCTGAGTATTGCGCAATATTTAAGCATAATGTTATGGGGTGCACTCTACAATAATTTGAGTTATGAATTTTTTTTACACCGAAGTTGAGTAAAATAAGTACATACAATTAAAAAAAAAAAATTAAATTGTGTTTTAGAATTTTTTTGAGTATGCAATTTTGTAGCCAATTAAATTTGAGTATAATAAAGTGCAAGTGTTTAAGCTACTGCAAAATTGCGTTGATTTTTAATATTGTTTATGCTCACGGCTTCTTGCACTTTTTCCTTATCGATGGAAATGCCTAAAACCGTTTTCAAAGAAAATTAAGAAAAAAATTAATGGCAGTTTTGCAATCGCTTAAAACTTGCAGTTTATTATACTAAAATTTAATTGGCTATAAAACTGCATATTCAAAAAAGTTTAAAAAATTTGTAAATTGATAATGTACTCATTTTACTCAACTTCGGTGTAAAAAAAATTTGTAACTCAAATTATTGTAGAGTGCACCCCATAACATAACTCAGAGCTACCATTGTAATTTTTTACAATTTTTTTTGAAATGGCATATTTTCAAAAACTAATTTTTTTTATCAAAAAATTTGTATGTGGAAAATTTATCAAGAAAAAAATTATTTTTTTTCGTAGGGAATTTTGATGTGTGTATGTGTGATTTTATCGATAAAAACGTTTTAATTGCGTATGCATGTTCACTTTGAGCAAATTGTGAGCACTGGTTGGGGAAATCTTCGGTAGATTGGGCAAATCGCTAATTGGGCCAAAATTATAGCCCAATTGGGGAAAAACTTTTGGCTCTGATCGGGCAACCTCAAAACATTTCCAGCAAGGAAACTTTATCATAATAGGCAACAATTTTTGCGCCCTCAACTGGCACGAAAATTTGCCAGCATCATATAAGTGCATTTTCAAAAAAAAAATCATAACTCGAAAACGACGGATTTTAGCATATTGCTACTCGTACTGAAAATAGTTTATACTATTCCCTAATAGACAAAAAAGTTTGAGAGAAAGAAAAGATGTGGCAATTTGAAAAAAATCAATTTGAAAAAAAATTTTTTTTTGTTTGTAAACAATAATTAATTATTAATAAACAATTACTGATGTTTAGTTCACTACATCGTTTCAGTAGATCAATATCTGCAATTTAAAAAAAAATCATTAAAATCCTTGCTTTTTTGCGGCAGTTATAAACGATTTCATCAAAAGTTGCTATTAAGAGAGGAAAAAATAAGCGGTCGTACTCAAAAAGAAAAAAATTCATTATTCGAAAAATTCGCATTTCTGAGCAAAAAGAAAAAATACGTGTCTCCTTAAATTGTTCAAGGAACAACCCCTGTGAGTTTTATCGCAAACTTAAATTCACTTTCCCCCGGCCTGGGTGATTTGAGATGGAATGAGCCGTACATATGTACATACATATTTGCCTACAACAATAAAATGAAAAGGAATGAATATTTGAAAAAAACTCTTTATTTGGTCATTCAATCACAATTCATACATAGATTGTAAGGTAACTGGCTCACTTTTACCATGAGTTAATACATGGATGTTGAGCAGCTAAAACCATAGTCTCCCAAACTGTCTGTTCTGTTTTAGTTTAATGAATTACGATCTGGGTTCCTCGGTGCTATAAACGTGGATTATAGGCATTTTTAACACCCTTTTATTAGCTTCACCTGTATGTTTGTATGTATGTATGTTTATAACCGACTCCTTTGGACTCGCTTTTGACCCACTTTAAACGGACAGATTTAATTCAAACTTTGTACACTTATCAAGAATCAGCGACAATATAATAATTTCATAAATTTATCTCATTATCCAGATTAGGATCGCCAGGATTAAATAATTTTCTCACACAGCCTCTGTGTGAGAGCAAGTGAGACAACTACGCTGTCTGCGCATGCGTACCGTCTACTTACTTTCCGACTCGAGCACTCGGCTTATTAGTGTTAATACATTCTATCCCTATCAGTTGCACATTTGGCCAAGTGGGCTAAGGCGCAAGTCGTAGGCGCGA